AATAAAATAAAATTGAATGGTTACGTCATTTTGCTAACATTCGTGTTCGTGAAGTCACGTGATAACGATCAGGTACATATTTAACTTTTTTTTTTTTTTTTTTTTTTAACTATCTAATGCCTGATTAATTTCCCCCAATTTCTCTAAAATTTAAACCTTATCATGTTTTAATTAGTTTAGCGAGGTGAATCATCTCTATAGAGAATCATAATATTCCCAATCAATGTAGGTATCAAATGTTTGCATTTGTTCCCAGTCTTCTGATTCGAAGCTTTCATTGACAGCTATTTCAGCTTCATTATTATCCCAGCTATATTGGTTGGAGCTTGGGTAGGTATAATAATTATACCTCATATTTTCTCATTCATCGTTATTGTCAGCCTCGAATTCTAACCCAGTAACTGGTTCTCTCCATTGGGGTATATCGATTAAATAGGTTTCGTCGATATTCATGAGTTGGAATCCATCATTCAGGTGGTGGTCACTGATAGGGTTTTCCCAATAACCGTTAAGTGTTGACCAGGTTATTACTCTCTCTGCTTCCAAAGTTAATTCATTTAGAAGGTTTTGGTAGTATTGTTCTTGTGCTATTTGGCTTATAAAAAGTTCTTTGTCCCATTCGTCTTCTTGACTTTCATCACTCATTATCTCATCATCTCCCCAATCATCCCATTCTTCATCTTCGGTCTAATTCATTAGGTCCGTTTCTTCATCTGTGTCTTCAGGGAAACAATTTTCTGCCATAACCCTGAAGACTTCTACTTCCATGGCCGTTTTGACTTGGGGAGGTTTAATTTCATATTCTTCATTAGCATTTTTCATATCAGCTGTTTTTTGGTAACAGCTTACTGTCCTTCCTTTATTTACTGCAACTAATACTATAACTAAAAAAGAAAACAACTTATTCAGAATTTTCAATTATTTTAAAGGCCTGTAATTCTTCAATATTATAACTACCGGTGTTACAATCTAAAAGTTTACGATAAAAATATTTTCGATAATAAATTTTGCTATAATTATCTTGAAATTTAAAGTCAAAAATATTTAATGGCCTAATATTATCAAATTTTAAATTAAAATCTTGAGTTCCTAAAGTAGAAATAAATTTAATTTTTTTAATATTATCAATTTTGAACATAAAACTATATTCCGCTTTCAATTTAAAAGAAGGTGGATATGAAATTTTAGAATATTTTGTTTTAAATGGATTATATCCTCCAATTATTAAATTAAGTTCAGCAATACGAAATACTATAACCGTTGGATATACGCAAAGATCTTCATATTGATCTGGTTCAAGTAAAACCATGTCATATGGGTCTTTAGTAGGAAATAATCTAATAGATTTCTTAGAATATATTCGTTTTTTGATTTCTTTAATGTGATTATGTCTTAATAACCTTGCTTTAGTAGTGTTTCTACGAGGAAGCACTTGTATGTTTCTAGGTTGCCATTCATTATTAAGATGAGATCGTAAAACTTGTTCATAAATATTACCAAGAATTTTTTTGTATGGTTTAACATGTCTATTAAATTCATCCGGAGTTAATGTAAAAAATCTCACCAGGGGAATAAAATTTTTCAATGTTAATCTCATAGATTCAAAATTTTCCTCTGACCATTTAGATGAATCTATAGAAAGGTTTGGATTCTGTTGTGCACATCCCCATTGAATGACGTGATCCCAAATTTCAAATTCATCTTTCACACTAAAATCGTCACGTTTAAGAATAGGAAGAAGTTCGGATTCTTGTAATTCAGTGAAATTTTTAGAGTCTAATAGCACATCAGGTTCATCTCGAATAATATCATCTATGCATTTATTTAATTTTACAAATCTATCATGCAATAAACCAATTTTATAGACATAAACAAAATTTTCTCGAATCCACTGAGAACCTACACTTAAAAGGTAATCCTGTAAGTCATCCATCAAATAATCTAAATCAATTTCATCAAATGCAAGAAGTAGTTCAAGGAGAACGTCTGCTTGAAGAATATCAAACTGAATTATTCCAGTATAAATATACCTATGTATAAATTAAAATTAAAGTTGTAAGTTATATACAGTAAAAATACAAAAATTTTCAAAAGTAAACGAAAAAAAAAATTACCGAATGATAATTTCAAAAATTTTAGGTAAAATATTTGGTTTTTCAAAATTAATTATTCCATTATTTTTTTTTACCCATCCCTGACTAAAAGCAGATTTAAAATACGATGAACGTGCGATAAATATTTGAGAATGTCCGCGAAATATTCTGATATTAGGTTCTTCACCTACTTTGATTTCTACATCATAATTATTATCATCCTCAAAAAATTTACTAAAATCGTTAGATAAAGTTTCCATATAAGACATTATAAAAAAATATGTTTCCCTGATGAAAATTGCAAGAAATGTGTATTCTTTTAATTTACAAAACACTATATGCTTAAGAATTTTTTAAATTTATAACAAATTTCGCCGGTGGTGATATCACCTATAATATAAATTTTAAAATTAAGGTAAGGTTAGACTAAAGTTAGAGTTAGGTTACTTACAATATAAGTAATATTGGCTACACTTAATAAGATTTTATTATTTATGAATTTTATTTTTTTTTCACCCTTATTTTAGTTACACGGGATTTAAAGGATTGAAAGAAATTAGAAACAATATACCAAATATATGCATACATTTTGTGTATCAAATAAATAATACGATAAAATTCGGACAGACATCCCTATAAGAAAAGTGGTACGGGTTGTGGTACGGGTTGGTTTCGGGAATGTACGAAGTGGCACGGATTGTGTGGCA